GTTCTGTGTTAGAGAGACCATGAAGATTATTTTCAGTTTTACAGACCTTCAATAATGTGCTGCAACGTGGCATAAACTTTCACCAAAGCATGAAATGAGACATTTACTAGGGTAAGAAGACCATTTCCATACATATTTTGAGGCTTCAAAGAAACCAGGCTTTAGCAATTAGGGAAACATCTAACTCCCAACTCTTTTTCTCAGCGTGTTAGGTTTCCACAGTGAGCTACTGTTCTGAGCGGGCGCAGCGTGCGGGGAGGCAGGCTGGTGCTTTTCAACAGTGCCAAGGAAATCAAGGGGGACTGCGTGGTTCTGATGCATGTGAGGACGGCCCGACAAGTCCACAGGCCTGAAGAGGCCACCACAAAAATCCAATCTGGGCAAAGACCAGGGAAAAGAGTGTCTGTCTGCAATTTTTATTGTCTGGGTAATTCCCACTAATCATTCACTTTTGTCAAAAGCCATTCTGAAGGCAACACAATCACATGCACAGTATGCAATTAGGCATTTAAAATCTAACCCCCAAGAGGGTGCCATTCATCCACCTCAGGCTTGCCAAAAAACTAAAACCCATATTTTTTGGTCGTAGGGGGTAGAGGTGATTAAAGTTTAATTTTACTCATGTGCCCCCTCCATGCCCGCACAGCCGGTGGGAGATGGTGCAGATGACAATAATTCACATCTTCCTGCCATGTGCTGTGCCACTTGAAGCTAAGACACAGAGTCACATCCAGAGGTCTGAAATGTTAAAACACGCAGGGAACTAGACATACTCACATTCAAATGTTTATAATGGAAATTTATAAATAAATTCAGAGAAGTAGTAATCTAATGATTAAAAATATATATATTTTTAAAAAGTAGCTCTGTACTTTCAGAATTTTAGAATGAATTTCAGAATAGGATAACTTACCTTGAACACAAACCTGGAAAGCTTGGTACTGCAGAGGCCCGAACCCCTCAAAGGAAGTGAGGTTCTAGTGAATATGTGTACGTTTTTCACAATAATCACATTTAGAAAAAGAAAAAAAAAACCAGCAAAATCTCCCCTCCCATAGCTGCCTAACATAGTAAGTGAAGTTGGTTTTTATTTCAGTTTCTCATCTATTGCCAGAATATCCGTGTTTTAAAGAGAAATGTCTAAAAACAAAAATAGGAATGAACTTTGTTTCTGGGAAAACAAAACAAAACAAAATTACCCAGTAAAGCTTTTTAAAAACACATTTCTTGAAATGAAAAATGGCCATAGTTTCACACATATTTGGGCCAAGCCACTGAACTGTACAGTGCATAACACATTCATGTGTGAAGATGCTGAACACAAAAACCTGTTTGTCTTAGTTAATGAAGTTAATGAAAACCTGATTACTCCTGACTCTCCCAACCTTTTGTTTAGTCGTCCTCTTTTTAAAACACTGCCTGTTGTTCTAACTCTAGCCTAGCTCAGCTCAGACTACCCACAGAACCTGCTGATGACTCACAGCTTTGCTCCAATGTCCCCTAGGCTTGACACTTGCACAAGGGCACCTCCCACGCCCTGGGCTTGTCAGTCTACCCCCAACTAAACAGCAGGAGTGTGCAGGCCTCTGTGGGCCCTGCTGCCCTGCCCAGGAACATCTTACCAATGAACCAGAAGGGAGAGGCCTCAGTGGTACCATATACTACAGTGGTTCCCAAATCAGACCCCAGAGCTGCTTTTCAAACACCCTAGTTTCTGGGATACAATCCAGGGATCCGTATTTCTTTTTTGGGGGGGGGTGTGGTACTGGGGATTTAACTCAGAGGCACTCAACCACTGAGTCACATCCCCAGCCATATTTTTATTTTTATTTTTAGAGACAGGGTCCGAGCTGCCAGCTCCTCACTTTTGCTGAGGCTGGCTATGAACTCACAATTCTCCTACCCCAGCTTCCCGAGCCACTGGGACTACAGGTGTGTGCCATGCTGCCCTGTGGATCTGTTTCTTAAAGTCACCCAAGTGCTTCTGAGCAAATTTGGACAAATTTGGGGAGGGTGTCACTGGAATGTAAGGATCAGAACTTGTGTGTTTTCTACTGAGGACCCAAGTAGATGACCCCCCCCACCCCTGAGCCACTTGATGTGCAGAGGGCCTGGACACTGCTGGGTCTGAGGTGGTGGGTGGCAAGCCCAGAGGAGGACGTGACGTCAGAGCACTGTCAGAGCCCTCTCAGGTGGCTGGGGCTGGGGCAGGAGGATGCCCACAGGGAGGAAGATAACACTAGACTGCTAGCAGAAGCTGGCCAGGTTGTTTGTGCCGACCCAGAAGAGCTCACACCTCGTCTGGAGTTTCCAGAGGGAGACAGCTCTCAGGCAGAAATAGACCGCACTGCGAGTCGGCCAAGGCCGCACCAACACTGAAGGCCTTAAACCCCAACCTGTTCTGTTTTTAACAAACTCACCAAGAGTTCACTCTGCTAAAGCACAATAAACCCGGCCACCCTCTGCTCCGCTCTCAGGGCTGGACAGCTCGGGATAGCAGGCCGGTCCCTGCTGCTCCAGCTCCTCCCCTCCCGCCTGCAGAATGAAGTAGCTGCAAACCACTGGCCAGTGAGGGAGGGACCGCCCAGCTCTCATCTGCAGCTTTTGAAAACTGCTCGCATGGCCCTGGACACCACCAAGTCAGAGACCGTGTAGTTCTCTGGAAAATTCTTTGACTTTTAAAGGGGAGCGGGATGTACGGTGGCGGGGGCCATGGTTTGAGTGGTTAAGTTTCTTTTTGCTTTAGCCAAAAGGCTTCTGAATGCCTCTGCTACACTCATGCAAACTGCAAATCTCAGGAGGGCCCAGGCTGGGCTTCCCAGGCGGCTCTGCCCAAGCAGGACTTCCCAAGGGCATGTCAAAGAGCCCAGGTTCTTCAGAACACACTTTGGAATACACGATTTCTGAGTCTTTCCAGCTTAACTGTTCAAATGGTCTCTCAAACACCTTCTAAGAGTCTGAGAAATGGAGGGGGGGGGGCACCGAGTTGATAATGAAATATGGTGTTTTTACTTCTAACCGGTGAGTAACGGCTCAATTTCTGGCTCCCGTCAAATTGTTTCCCAGTTCTTTCCCTCACTTTGGTATACGTCTAGCTAGGCAAGCTTTCCTTTGGGAAGTGTCATTTCCTTCAGGAGAAAATATTCAAAAATTTAAGGTTACCTCTATTCTCCTTTTTCATAGAAGGAATACTGTCTGTACAAAGAGCTCAGACAGGAGGGACAGGTCCAGGACCAATCCCTCTACAACTTTTGGGCAAGGGACAGAGACTCAGAGGAGCCAGAGCACTGCAGGGAGAGACAAGGCGACTTTCCTCACATCTTCCAGAGTCAGGAAGACCATGGAACACAGAAGGGGAATTCGAACGGAGGCGGCATCTAAACGTCTGAATTTCAGGAAGTGAACTCGGGGTGACGTTGATGTCTGCATTCGCACACCTGCAGTCACTCGAGATCAATCAGCCCGAGCCCACGAGAGCCTGACCCCCGCATCATGAAGATGTCAGCGTCTTGTCCAGCATTCCAGTCCCCTGCCGAAGGTGCCGCTTCAGCAACTTCTAACAGTTCTCAAATATTTGGATAAGACCTTCTGCAGGCTTGGAAATGCTCCGCCAGAAGTAGATACAGAAGGTTCTCCCACCAAGAGGAACAAGGCGGGAGCAAGCGGTCCCCACGACAGATGAACTACAGCAGCTTCTTCAGATGCTGTTCGGTTCACTTCATTGAATAAATTATGGAGAAAATAACTGAACTTTGATTTTCATGCTGTCACTAGTACCTTCAAATAACAGCTTCACACGTGTGTGTGTGTGTGTGTGTATGTGTGTGTGTGTGTGTGTGTATAATTTCAGTTGCAGGTGGATGCAACCCCTTTATTTTATTTATTATTATGTGGTGTTGAGGATCAAACCCGGGCCTCACACACGGAGGCGAGGCTCTACACTGAGCTACAAACCAGCCCTTAAAACAGCTTTTTTACATATCATAAAATTCACACATTTGAAATGTACAATTCAGTACTATTTAGTACATTCTCAGAGTTATGCAACCAATGCCATCTGGTTTTAGGAAAAAAAAGGAACCCCATCCCGTACCCCTGAACAGTCTTTTCCTATTATTATGTTTTGAGGGGGAGCGGGTACCGGGGACTGAACTCAGGGACACTTGACCACTGAGCCACATCCCCAGCTCTATTTTATATTTTATTTGGAGAAAGGTCTCGATGACTCGCTTAACACCCAATAACATTCTCGCTTTACTGCCCAATAATATTCCACTGTGTGACCATCCCTGCCTGGCCGCTCCCCTGCCGGTGGCACCGGGTTCAGCACTCCACTTACAAACTCGCTCCAAAGCAGCAGCAGCTGGAAACCAGGACGTTCAAGCGGGACTATGCTTTGTCAGTTTAATTAGCGCGAACAGTCTTAAGAGTGACAGGAATATAAGGTCAGTTTTTAAAAGCACATTTTTAATTTAGCTTGCCGATTTTGTTTAAGCTCGGAAGGAGAGCACTCTATGTTCTGGGGAAGACAGTGCCAGCAGCCACCCCGACTCGAACGCAGGACTGAAACACTGGGGACTCTGTGCCACTTTGGGTCTCTGGAGGCCAGCAGTCAATGTGGCCTCGTGACTCTAAGCCCCTTCTCCTTCACTGCTGAGCTGCCCCTAGTACACACCAGGGCAAGAGTGAGAACCAGCCTCTCCCCAGGACCCTCCTCACAGACCTGCTCCTCCCTAGGTCCAAGCGGGCACTTGGGTGCTGGTGTGAGCACGCCACAGTCAGCACTCAGAGACGACAAAGATTTTTTTTTTTTTTTTTTTAGAGAGAATTTTTATGTGGTGCTGAGGATCGAACCCAGCACCCTGCACATGCCAGGTGAGCGTGCTACTGCTTGAGCCACATCCCCAGCCTGATTTTTTAAAATTAAAAAAAAAATTTTTTTTCTTCATTTATCGCCTTCAATGTGTTCTGAGTCCACCCCAGGGCAGATTTGTTTTTAAATGTGGTACTGGGGATTAGAACCCAGGGCCTTGTGCATACTAGGCAAACACTCTACCACTGAGCTATATCCGCAGCCCAACAAAACAGATTCTAAGTGTTCCTCCTGTACCCTGGAGACCTTCTTGGATTAATACCCCTCCCCAACTTTTGCTGAGGGAAACATGCGCTACGCATCACCAGACTTGTTTTCTGAAACTGGAGTGAGGTGGCCCAAGCCGTGCCCCTTTGCTGGCCCTTAGTGTGGCTCCCACTGGAACTGTCAAAAGAACCACCTGCAGCACTTATCACTAAGCAGCCCACTGCTTCCTGGGCCCAGGTGAGGGCAGCTGTTGGGGCAGGACTGTGAATTCACTCCACACGCCCAGGAGCAATGCCCATGACAAGCCCTGGGCTGCAGTGGAAGTGCAGAAGGCCCGACTCCTCTGCCAACACACTCACTGTGCTAGTGGCCATGTGACATATCTGTCCCGGATCTCCTAGGCACACAGGACAGGTGTGCTTTAGGAACCCACAACAGATGAGCCCATCCTGTAACACCTCTGAATCCTGATCCCGTCATCTTTAAGAAAGAGAAAACCCCCCATATAATGTCAGCTGTCATAGCACTTGTCACGTGACCGACCTCTAGAAAACACGAGCACTAACTTAGCAAACCTTAACTGGCCTAGGGTAGAAACGCAGCTCCTCAAATTCAGCCGGCAGGCAAGGCAGAAGGCCCCGGGGACAGGTGGAATGTTTGTGGGGTGGGGGTTTACTTACTGCTTTCCCTCTATCCACGTCACCAGCATTGGTAGGGTGTCACCAGCATTAGTAGGGTGTCACCAGCATTGGTAGGGTGTCACAGCAACAGTTAATTCCTACAAGATAACCTTGTTTCCATCTATTACACAAAACGAACTCCTCTTTCTTACAAGTAATGCTGCTTGCCATACAACTGTTTATAGAAAAAACTAAATTATATAAAACAGTTGCAACTGAAACTCCAATGGCCATGTTTACACTGTTACAGTTTCTAATAAGCAGGGTCAGAAGTGTCCAATTGTTACCCCAGAAGGGCAGTCCCAAAACCTCCCTGTTGTGAAGAGCCATCATTCTTTAAGGACTGAGCAGACACAAACAAGAATCTCCATGTTAACATTCTCAAACACCGCTGCTAAGATGCATAAGACAGAAATGTGGCCCTTGAAACATTTTCTCATTAAATGGAGTGAGGCGCACATCCAGATCAGTTACAGCAGTAACCTGACACTGTGCTTGGCGAAGGCACCACACCACCTGTCAGTCAAGAGTGGGCAACAGTGGCTCCTCCCTAATCCTCACCCATGGCAAGAGCCATCTGTCACCAAGCACCCAAAGGCAGGCTGGGCCAGAAAACTTCCAGGAGCACATATTGAAGCTCTGGCTCTATCACCAGACTTTGTAAACACTCCTGCTGGCAGGCAGAAAAGGTGGGGGCAATCAGGATAAATACGCTGTACTAATGAAATAATCCTAAGGCAATCTGCAGCCCCATGGATGAAGATGATCACAGTGCTAATCCTTTCTAGCAAGCTCTCCATCTCCAAGTCATCCCCGATCATCATCTCATACTGCCTCCTTCGAGGTTAAACACCACCAGCATGCAGAAAGCTGCTTCATCTATGGGCTTAGGAACATTAACAAAGGCCAGCCGCAAATTAACTGCACATGACAAAAACCGTCAAGCAATTCAGAACGATTTCTGTGCACAGTTTTGTCTGTAGCACAAACAAACCAACAAAGACACATGGGTAGGACAGAGGGTATGTTCTCATGTTCTGGTAGGAAATCCCCTGTAACTATACAATAGCAGCACATACACTAGTCTTTTGTTGCCTGAGTAATAAGAATAATAAACCATCAAATGCCAGAGCGGACAAGAGTCCACTTGTCACGCCTTTGACAACTACCAGACAGCACTCCCACCAAGGTCAAAGTGCTGGTGCACAGTCCTGTTAACCCTTCAACTTTCCTAGGAACCACCAGAAGACAGTTGCGCTGTTCCCAGGAACACGAAGTCCCTGAGAAATGTCCCTGTGGCAGAGTGCTGAGCACAGGCCAGTTCCAGCGGCTCTCAGAACTCCCGGCGTCTACAACGAAGCTGTAGACCTCCACCGCAGAAGCCATCCCTGTGACAGTGGTCACTGCCTCAGAAAGTTAACCCAAGAGAATTCGGGTTCCTCTGCACATGGGTAGGTGCTGGGATGACTGCATTCCCTGTGGGCGTGTCCATCAGGAACTGACCCAGGGCAAGGCAGGGCCTTCAAACCACCCTGGCCTCCCCCGCACCCTCCAGGGAGGTGTAAGCACTCTGGTCAGCTATGCCCAGGTGCTAATCACTAATGAAAACCAAGTGGAACCACAGAGGTCAAGGTCAAAGGCACCAACTTAACCGTGAAAAGCTCCGAAGGTGCGACCAGAGCTCTGTGCTCTATTTAAGCACAGTCCTGACATAGTTTCAGGAAGGGTGAGTCAATCTTCACTTGTATAAAGAGACTTTGAAGAGGCACTGGTTCAAATTTTAACCGCCAGCAGGTCTGGCAAAAAGGACGGTTACCAAGCACCGCCCCCCCATCTCTGTGTGTCAATGAAAGATTTTTACTGGTGCATTTCTGCTTGTCCTACCAGCTAATTACTTATGAATGCCTCACAACTTCATTTCGGAAGACCTGTACCTTCTGTACTGCAGCAGGACAAGTCTGTCTTTTGTTTCTTTCAAGCACAAACCCTCATACATCATCCACCCGACAAGGGGCAACAGAGCCTGGGCAGGTCTGGGATGCTCTCCTGCTCCGTGGTCCTCCTGACTCGGGGCAGGCACCCACTGCCTCTTACGGAAAGGCCAGAGGTACTTTAAGGAACTTTTCGGGTACCTTAATTATGAAAATTAACACGCCACCCCCCTCATTTCCTCAGTCAAACTCCTCTCACTCCTCCCCAAGTCCACTGTGAGGCCGAACTTAATATGTGGATGTCAAACTCTTACCCCGGGACAGACACCAACAGTGCAGAGGACTAACACAGAAGCTGGGTCTTAGAATTTCCCAATGACTTCTTCGATGCTGCTGGTGTCCACTTTGTTATGTTTTTGTGAATAAATGTATGTTTTAAGTGGAACAAGTAAAACAGTGACGAGGTATAACTAACTGCTTTGTAGGGAGACTCTGAATGGGCACTGCTTAGTGTAAGGTTGTCCTAGTCTGATGACTTTTTTTTTCCCCCCCTTTTTCTTTTTGGAGACAGGGTCTCCCAAGTTGCCCAGGTTGGCCTCAAACTTGCCATCCTCCTGCCTCAGCCTCCAGAGTAGTTGGCATTACAGGCAGGCACCTGCATGCAGCTGGCCTGCTGACTTCTTCTTAGGGACAGAGGAAAGAAAGTGGGGCCAAAAAAACGTTTAAGCAACTTCCTTAACTCTTGCTCACTGAGAACATTTACATCTGTGTAGCTCCTTTGTTAGTCCCAAGGTTGTGTATCTCTAAGTCAAGCTTTTAAGACAAAAAGTTTCTATTTCTAAGTTCTTGGGCTGAAAAAATTTTGAAAGTCTATGAATATAAAAATGAAGTGTGCAGATTAACATGTATCCCATAACTTCAAGAATATGTATTCTCACGTCCTTCTGAATAGCTCCTTTTTGCCTCTGAGAGTGAGCCACTTCCTGTCCCTAGACCCACTTCCTGACAGGCTGGGGCTGCTTAACACACACAAAGCAGACAAACCAGTCCTGTTTGTACTCATTACGATCAGAGAAAACCACCACCTCAGAACCAGAAGGACCTTTCAGAGCACTCACATTAAAAAGGGGCCAGTTCCTCTACTTCAAAACCTGCCGGGCCCTGCCGGCTGTTCGCAGGCTAAGCACTGCTGCGGGAGGGCGGACGGCAGCTGCTTCCCGGTGCGGCACGGCAACCCAGGTGGGCACTGGGGACCTGCTTATGGTGTGTGAAAATACCGCTCCTGAACCCACGACCTGCTAAGTTTCAAGGTTCATTTCTGTTAACTTCCAAGACAACTTTTCTGTACCTCTCTGTAAGCAGGGACCAACCAACTCCGTCCACACTGGGAATGACACGGGTTGGATGTGCACATTTAACAGGGGAACTAAACTAAAATTCTTAGAGGGGAAAGGAAGCATCAAAGGAGGCTACCTTCTGCAAAAGAAATGATTCTTTAAAGAAATACAAATAGAAATACATCCTTCTCTCCCCACCCCAAGGAAGGCAAACTAACGTCTCTTTCAAGGTCGCTTTCTCTTTATCTAACAAACCTGTGAAGTTGCAGGTCCTAACATGTGATTCTGGTTTTCTAGGTGTGTCCCGTACTCCAACACTGATTTAGTTTCCCTGAAATGTCTAGTAAATTACAGGACTCCATAAAGGACAAAAAGGACAAGGAATGCCAGGAGGGCCAATTCATGCTACCACCAGTTTTAATTCTAGACTCACGAATCAGGGAAACCAAAAGCTTGCGGAGGAGACCCACTAACCCCCTGGAAAGCACTATTTTCTTTGTAAATTTAGAAGCCTGTGAAGAGTTTTCCCTTTCCATTCTCATGACATTAGGGGGGAGCCTGGGGAAGCTGTCAGTTCCTTTGCTGACCTGCCGTTTTAGGGAGGGGCATATAAAATAAGCCATACTTAAATCTAGTGACATGTCTGAGATCAGTCTCTGTCCCCAGTCAGGACCACACTCGCAGGAGTATTCTGTAGCATTAAAGAACATCTCTCCTTAAGAAGCTCGTGCAGGAGCTATCTGAACTTGCCCATGAAGTCTTTTCTTTTGGCACTGATCAAATATAGAGTAAGACCATGGTATCTTTGTTTTTTAAAAATCCAAACTAAATAAGCAAGATCACAAAATTTGCTTGAATAAGCAAAACCCAAGAAAAACTTACACTTTTAAATCACCCTCGTTTCTGAAGTCATATAAAGTTAAACACCAAACTCTTTGACTTGCACTTCAAGGCAACAGCGCTGTATGTTGTACCCATGATGGGATTATGATCGTGTGTGTGTGTGTGTGTGTGTGTGTGTGTGTGTGTGTGTGTGTGTGTGTGAC